GCGGGGGCGGGGTGGGTATTAACATCCCTGTCCCCGCCCCCGCCCCCGATTTTATCAATCGGGGAAAACCCGAACCCGAACCCGAACCCGATAAACACGGGTTTTCCCCGTCCAAATCGGGGCGGGTTCAGGCGGGTACCCACGGGGACGGGTTAGATTGCCATGCCTACTCAGAAAGCCTTACAACTACTTGAGCAACACACTTTGTTACATGAATGTTATTTGACACAGCAGAATTTAAAAAAATGATTACTTCCTATAGCATGTATGCGATCTTCTCTTTCTCACAAATCCCTGTTGAACTAAGTCAACAATTTAGAAACTTACATAACATGGAAAAAGAGCATCGAACTAAAACAATTACAAGGGCATAGAAGTTTGAGGGGAAACATTCTTGCTACAACATGAAATTTCACTTACTTATAGAACCACCTATATTGAGGAGGGTTCATCTCATACAACTGTTGGAGAACAGTCCTGACAGCCTTGTATGTGAAATAATTGATTATTTGCTGTATCCAAAAAGATGAGGTCAGGCAAATTGCAAACCGAAAATAGTTATTAATATCCATTCAATTGAGAATGAGCTTCTACATGCAGAGAAATTATTAAGTAGTCTTCAACTACATAGTTTCTAAATACTCTCTGTGCATGATATGTAATAAAGAGTTATCAATTTTAGTTTTATTTTTTTAAATTGGAAAGCTTAAATACATGTTAGATTGAGTTTAGTAGTACCGTTTTAACATCATGAAAAGTGTCTTCATATTGACCACCGAGCTCGTTGACAATAGTGAGTGTTCTAGTCCTCTCCTTGTGCCTGCACTGCTTCTTGAAACGTGTATTAACACTATGACTGTGGTGCCATTCAATGAAGGAACTTCTGAGTTGCACGGTTCCACGCTTCACCAAGTGCTTCCTCTTCACACCAGTGGTGATAGGAACAACAGCATCCACCCACAAATATGGGCAACTGTGCGATTCCACCGCAACAGATACACCACCCACCATCCTAGCCTATTTTACCCCAAACCCAGATGAATTTAAGCTATGTCCAAAAAAAGTAAAGAGTTAATAGCTAGAACAATCAATGGAAATGGAAATTATAGTCAAAGATACGTGCATGCTATTTCTTTTGGGGTTCAAGGAAAACCAAGGTGGGATTTTTGAAAGAGT